AGAATTTTTTTCAACCCATTTGTGCTCGGTGTTACTTTTTAAAGTAATATTCCTGATGCTGGTATTAATAAATGATAATATGTAAGAGTTAATTAAGGAATGCATTTGTTCAGAGGAGCAGAATGAGACCTTCATATCTCCAAAGATAATCAGAGTCACTCTTGCTGTTCTTTCAAATTCTGCATCACGTCTAACAGAGATGGCAAAAGTACTCACTTTCCGTACTTGAGTAAAAGTACAGATACTTGTGTTAAAAAATACTCTGGTAAAAGTGGAAGTACTGATTAAACTTCTTTACTCAAGTAAAAGTAACAAAGTACAGTGTTATAAATTTACTTAAAGTATAAAAGTAAAAGTAGAAACCACTTTTTTCAAGCCGTTGCCTACATTTTAAATGGATGTCTGCCAATAGGACTAGATCTCCGTTGTGTTCATTTTCAATCATCTCGTCGTCCATTCTACTATGCTAACGCCACCGCCACCAAGCTGCAATGATTTGCCGCCAATGAATACAGCCGAATCTGTCGATTCATCTTGTAGTGGTGCGTCAAATGCAACGTAGATTCCGATCCAATTAGATTGAATTTGGTATTGATGACGTGAAAAATAATAACGGTAACTCCATTGAAATGATTCAAAACTAAAGTGACGAGCCAATTTTTATAAAATGTAAGGAGTAGAAAGTACAGATATTTCTGTAAAAATGTAAGGAGTAGAAGTAAAAAGTCGCCATAAAAATAAGTAGTAAAGTAAAGTAAAAATATCTGAAAAATCTACTTGAGTACAGTAACGAAGTATTTGTACTTCGTTACTTCCCATCTCTGGTGTCTAAACAGACTAAACTATGGTGGCTCACGGAGTCATCGCTGCAGGTGACGGCAGGAAGCATGTATTAAAAAAGGGATTAACAATCTGCATCCCATCTTGAGGTTTTACTGATTCATTCCCACATTTACTTAAAAATAAAAAAATCAACCAAATTTAAACATTTTCTTTCTTTGTTAAGTGCATTTTCAATTGATTTGAGTAGGTCAGTTGAAAAAGATTTTTGCACTTAAGGAAAAAACATCTCTATTAAAATTTCTGTACTGCAGTTAATATAACTGCCTTAGTTTAGGGGCAAAACACTCATTCTACTGGCAGATAATTTAACTTAACTGCTCAAATGAAGGACAAAACACTTATTTCAAGAGATCTTTATTATTTTTTGCTGTGTTTGTTATATGTTGACCCATCTGTGAACTCTGTGACTGTACTCAGAGTCATCAAACTTCAGCATCTCTTCATCTCATTCCCCTCCCCCCCCTCCTCCTGCTTGTGGTCTCTGGGTGTTTGTTGTTAGTTTCCTGTCACAGAGGAAGTGCCTCACCCTGCTGCCTGGCTCCTTATTGGCCACACCTCTGATGAACACTGATTTTTTAAGAGGGGGGGGCAAGTAGATAGAGGGAGAAGAGTGTGGGTCCAGGGACAGGAGTGTGAGCCGTGCAGGAGGACAGATCGGTGCGCAGAAAGACTCGACTGCAGATGAGTTCAAGCTGAAGGAGGTTCTGCAGGAAGGAAATGGCTTTGTGTTGCAGAAGGTAAGCGTGAATAAAACAGCTTCAAAAAGAACTGAGCACAGCAGCACCTTAGAAATAGAATACCACATACGAGTTGTTGCTTTTAGACTTTCATAATATTTAAGTGTTTTGTGAAAGGTTTCCTTAACATGATGTCATGCAAGCTTTAAAATAACATATTTTATGTATTTTAACAATTATTTCAACTTTTCCAACTTTTCTTTGTCAGCAGATCAGCATAAAGGTGGGATAGGGAGAGGGGGAGGACAGGTTGTGGAAGACGCAGACCAGGACTCAGAACTGAGGGTCAACAGAACTTCTCCTCAGCGTGTTAAACCAATCAGCAGGTCTGCACTGATACGTCTGTGGGGGAAGATTTCTGGTGATCCGGTCAAAGCTCCTCCTTCTTGGTCTGGTTTCTCCCAATCCTTGTACCAGTGCCTTGATTTTGCTGACGCTGGACAGGTTTGGGGGGTGCTGTACCAAAGATTTCTGCTTCATTCTTCACTTGTACACAAGCGTAGCCAGAAAATGTTTATAAGGTTGTCCAGGCAATAACCAATGAACACTGAGAGGTGGCTGAAAGAGGATAGGCGCCACAACCTCAGGGTCAATGTACACTATTGCAACAGGAAAATTAACGAGCACAACATCCATATTTTCTAAATTAAGACAAACTATACTTTCCTACAACCTTTTCTAACAAATGCATATATTTAAACATCCGTGCTTTCTAGATAGACGGTGGATAAAATAGAGTTTTGAGTTCTGGGGCAAACATCTTTTCATTTGTCATTACTTACCTGCTTTTATCAACAATTACTCTGCATAAAATTTATATTTATAAGTACTACTATAAACATAAATTGATTATTAAGTTTTTATTGAAATAGTTATGTATCTATGATTTCAGTGAAGACCCCTAGATGACTTGAGTGACACATAATTTTCTCTTTACCCCATAGTTTAACACAAAAACTAGTTGTGAAAAGAGCATGAATTCTGTACTTATAATCTTTAATGTTACTGTATTGATGTGTTTTATTAACCACGGTGTTTTTGTTGTTAATATATGAAAAATTAAAATGTTTTAAATATTCCACTTGTGAGTATTACTGCTGACACCAACTGCATTAGAGGGAGAAAAAATGGTAGGGGTGGCCAATGCCCCCCATCTAGCTCCGCCCCTGCACTTGTATCAGAACCTCTTTGGACTTTTCGTGTTGCAGTTATGTCTTTTCTCCCTCCAGTTAAAGGTTTATAAAGAATCTATGGATTTTTCTCCTCATAGCAGGTTTATTTTTTGACCCTCACCATCAAACACAATGACTACGACACGTTTCCATGAGTTCAACTGAAAAGCAATGAATTTTTTTTTTAAATCTTGTTCTAATAAAGTAAATCTCTCTATTGCATTGATCCATTTTTTTCTGCAGTCTTATTTTTTTTTTTGTCTATAAACTGTTGTAAAGGAGTCAAAATACACCAGAATGAAAAGACCTCTCTTTCTCCTGAGTCGTTGGAGTTTGTTACTTTTGGTGGGTTTTGTGTTTGGCCATTTTAATCAGTGCAGTTGTCTAACCTCTTCTTAACCCTTTATAAGGGCAAGTTACTGTTTTTTGATCACTTGCATATCCCTTACAAATGGAGCTTCAGTCCTTCTATTTACTGATGTCTTTTATCTTTTAACAACAGTGGCTTTTTGCAGCTCTTTCTCAAATCCTTTTTTGCAAGTTTGAAGACGTTTTGCTTCCCATCCGGGAACGCTTTTCAATTCAAAATATCAGAACCATAAACAGAGGGGTTGGACCCAGATTTCAGCTTTCAGAAACCTAAAATTCAGCTATTTAGTTGATTCCTTCCCGCTATCATCGCAACCACCGCTACCTTACAGAGGATCAGAGCATCTCTTCAACCAGGCCAACAATTCCCTCTAATGACCCCCTTTTCAGAGACATTGACAGCATTCAGTTACTACAGGCTAACAAAGAACAAAACGACCCCATTCCAAAGGGGTGGACCCATTCGTCCGTTTCAATTAGCATGTTTTCTAAGCCAAAAGGCTTTTTTTGGTCCAAAAACTTCCCGGATGGAAAGCAAAACGTCTTCAAACTTGGAAACAAAGTCCAGGAGAGAACAATTATTTATATTTGAGTTCTGAATATTACTTATTTGAATCGGGCATCATCAAAATATTGTCCTAAATGAAGCTTTACGTTTTAATAAAGGCAAAGATGCTCACAGGTCCTTAAAGGGCAGGTCCAAGTCAAGTCTCAAGTTTCATGTTTCCAGGGAAATCCATGACGTCTCTCACTTCTTACTTGTAGCTCTCTTGGTTTGGTGTTCAAACCTGTAGTCTTTGCAGTTTGGCCTTAATTCCCTATTTGATGTTTATCTTTCAGCCCTTAACCCTTTAAAGGGCAAGTTACCGTTTTTGATCACTTGCATATCCCTTACAAATGGAGCTTCAGTCCCTCTATTCACTGATAACTTTTCCCTTTTAACAACAGTGGGTTTTTTCAGCTCTTTCTCAAATCCTCAGCCCTCTCTATCCTAAACTATCTATCCAGAACATTTTGGTTGTCAAAGATGTGTCCTTTATTGTTGAGGTGAAAGTGTCCAGAGCTGAATTTTACCCAGAACTGTTGCCTCTCCCGTGTTGTGCCATGAGTTTGGTTTCTCTGATTTAGGATTCTGAGCAGTCCGAGCTGCACTGGACAGCACAAACCACACGGCTCAGCCTTGGTTTCAGGGTTCCTTCTTTGGGTTGAAACTATTTTTTGTCTGATTGTGTTTGAGGGTTTGAAATTCACTAGTCTGTTATGTTTCAGAAAAAAAACTGAGCCTGATTGGTTCCAATCCTAGCCTATTTTTGATAATTTTTTAAGAAGATACAATACAATACACACTTTAGAGTTAAAGTTGTTTCCCTAATATGTAGTCTCCTTTTTCTTCAAGTCGTTGAAGAATATATTTGTTATATGTATTGAGAAATGCACCTTGATACCAGACTTAATTTTGCTATTTAACCATCCATCCATTTTCTGTCATGCCTATCCCAGTGGGGTGGTGAGGGGTGCTGGAGTCTATCTGCAGCTGTCTATGGGTGAGAGGCGGGGTCCATCCTGGACAGGTCTCCAGTCCATCACAGGGCAACACAGAGACAAACAGGACAAACAACCAATCACACACTCTCACACCTACGGAGAATCTAGAGAAGCCAATTAACCAGACATTTTCTAACTTTTGGGATAATATGGTCTGATAAAGAATACATTTATATACACGTTTAAGCCAGAATTATTTGAAATTTAAATATGACTTTCCTACGACTTTAATAATAAAGTTCCAGGGGGAAAAAAACAAGATCAGGAGATGTGATTGGTTCCTGCAGTGTAGCCCTGCCCACTCCCTCCTTAGTGATTGGTTTCTGCAGTGTAGCCCCGCCCATAGCTGTCCAGTAACCTGTAGCTACTGATTTCTTCGCTGGACATTAGATCTCAGATTGGACTCAGTTTAACATCATAAACACAGAGAACAGGTAAGCTTTGTCTCAGTGTTCAGCTTCTACAGTGGAAAAGTTTCTTTCTTGGTTTAAAGTTTCAGTTTATGTGTCCTAAAGTAGAAGTTAAGTCCAGCTAAACTCATAGCTGCTGTTCTGCTGTTTTGTGTATTAAAAATGAAACCTTTCCCAGCCTGTTTATCGGTAACATTTAGCAGGGCTTCTTCTTTCTTTCTTGGTAAATTATTGTTTTTTGTTTTTACTATTTCCTTTGAATAAAGTTAAAGCTGTTTATTAGTCGCCGGTTTAAAGCCCAAACTGAATCGGCTGTTCTCGGTTCTTTCCGCCGCCTCCATAGAGCCCGAGGCTCTGCTCTCCTTTATATCAACCTTTATATCACTGAACATCGATTATTATATGTTAATTAGTATAAACCCATCAGGCATGTCATTATGACCGCCGACGCAGGAAGTTCTTCTTCACTCCTGCAATGAATGTTTGGAGTAAATCAAACCTTTTCCTCATCAAAGCTGGTTAGTTTGAAGCAGGAAGTGTTTGGCTTCAGGATTTCAGTGACTTTCTATAAGATGCTCCATATAATAGATGATGCATGTTAATCTGCTGCATATTATTTAGGAACCACCTGGTTCCACCACATTCCAGCCATGCTGTGATCGGCCTCATTATGATTGCAAACATTTAACAATTGCAGAGGGGTGTTACTATAAAAAAGGGGCAAATATGCTGGTAAAGATTCTCAGGCATCCAGGTAACCCAGGTCATCCAGGTCAAAGTCATTCCAAAAAAGTAAAAAAAAAAACAATCCGCTGGACACTTTTTTGCAAGTTTGAAGACATTTCACTTCCCATCCAGGAACGCTTTTCAATTCAAAATATCAGAACCATAAACAGAGGGGTTGGACCCAGATTTCAGCTTTCAGAAACCTAAAATTCAGCAATTGAGTTTAGGGTTGGGAATTGAAAAGATTTTCACGATTCCGATTCCCTTTTCGATTCTATGAAACGATTCGATTCTTTATCGATTCTTTTTTCGATTCCAATTTGGGGGAAAAAGGAGAACAAACAGTTTGATTATCAGCATCAACTTTGCTTACTTAACTATTGCACAATCTTACAAACTCAACAAGATCAAGATGTCCACAGGAAATATGAAACTGGAGTAACATCCGTGTTTAAATGAAAAATAAATATACAAGAACAAACTTAATAACCAACAATGTCTAATAACAAATGATGGGATAATAACCTATTTTAAATAACAAAAAATACTAATTATAAAACAGTAGTAGGGAAAATTAACAGTTCTTTTGCAGAAAGATGAGCATATCTGCTTTTTCTGGAAGGATACGGGATCTTTCAGGGCTTATGGTGTCTCCAGCCGTGGAGAACACCCTCTCAGATGGGGTGGAGGAAGCCTGCACACAGAGGTAGTTTTTAGCCAGTCCAGATAGCAAGGGCAGCGTATCTTGCTTGTTCCACCACCACAGTGTGGCGCTATCCCTGCAGGGGATGGAGGGCAAGCTTTTACAGAGTTGGATTTCCTGATCTACCCCCTGGGCTAAGGAAAGACGGGGCTTTGATTCACAAAGTGACCGCAGCTCGTTGTCTTCCTCCTCGAATAGTTCTTCCAACTTGCGTAACTTGCGTAATAAACGTGACGTAAGTCGTGCTCCCCAGAGCCGGCGCTCTAGGCTCTGGTGCTGCGGGAATCGAAAAAAGAATCGTTCAGCGAGCTGCCAAACGATGCCATGGAATCGGAAAATACGGACCCGGTTCTTAACAGGAACCGGTTTTCGATTCCCATCCCTAATTGAGTTGATTCCTTCCTGCAATCATCGCAACCCCCGCTACCTTACAGGGGATCAGAGCACCTCTTCAACCAGGCCAACAATTCCCTCTAACGAGCCCCTTTTCAGAGACATAGACAGGTTTCTGTCATGTCTGGCTGAACCTTAGGGACTCACATGCAGAATCGGCACGGACACCAACTGAAGGAAGAAGTTTTATTGTAAACTCAGCCAAACTGGATGGGGACGGACTGGGTGCCCCTGGGGAGACACGGCCACAGGCTGCGCAGGTGGCTTGAGGCGCACGCTGTGGTGGAGAGCGGGCAGGCTGACTGAACCTAAGCTGCAGATGGGAGCAGCTCGCGGAGTTAGACGCTGAAGGAATCAGTCCAGGAGTGCTTCGATTGAACCTGGGAATCCAGAGACACAAGAGGTGAGCAATTAGGAACTTTTCACCCGGAATCAGACAGAACTTTCTCGTGGGGAATTTAACGTTGGCTAGAGTGGTACCAGAGTATGGGACCATCAGGCGAGGAACAGATGGCTGCAGCTCCTTAAATCCCTGACAGGTAGATGGGTTGATGGATCTCAGGTGCTCAGACAGCCGGCCACGCCCACCTGCAGCGCTCAGAAGGAATAAAAAAAACACTCCACACAAGGGTTCTTACAGTTTCAGGTACTCAAGATAACAAAGAACCAAACGACCCCCATTCCAAAGGGGTGGACCCGTTCGTCCGTTTCAATTAGCATGTTTTCTAAGCCAAAACAAGGCTTTGATTGGTCCAAAAACTTCCTGGATGGGAAGCGAAACGTCTTCAAACCTGGAAACAAAGTCCAGGAGAGAACAAATATTGATATTTGAGTTTTAAATATTACTTATTTGAGTCGGGCATCATCAAAATTTTGTCCTTAATGAAGCTTTACGTTTTAATAAAGGCAGAGATGCTCACAGGTCCTTGAAGGGCAGGTCCAAGACAAGTCTCAAGTTTCAAAGTCTCTAATGATGAAGAACGTTTCCAGTGAAATCCATGACGTCTTTTACTTCTTACCTGCAGCTCTTCCCTATTTGATGTTGATCTTTCAGCCTTTAACCCTTTATAGGGCAAGTTACCGTTTTTGATCACTTGCATCTCCCTTACAAATGGAGTCCCCCCCCCTGTCCCTCATTGAGTTCTAGAAGCACTAGATCTATATCCAGCCATTTAGCAAAGATTCTGCTACACGGCTGTACATCTTATTTTGGCATTTGACCAATTAGATGAGCCCTTCAATGATATATTAGCTACTTTAAATTAACTTGGCAAAAAAAGTTAAGTGAAGAAAAAAAGGTAAAAAGCAAATTGAAAAGTTAAAAAGTTAAGTTCAAAAGTTGATAAACCTAGTTAACAATTTTATTTAGGTTTATAAACTAAAAAATGTAAGTGCCAGTATCAGCATTAATGCCTCTAAGGTTATGTTTGACCGAAACAAAAATGTGTTTCCTTCACTTTTGTCATGAATTTCTTTTAGAAGCACTTTTATTATTTTACTTAATATATTTGGGCAAATGGCCGTTTCTTGTTATTACATTGACGTTAATTTTTGCCATCAAAATATCCATATTTTTTGAATGTTACAAAGGTAATAAGGTCTTTTCCTGGATTCCTATAACACTATTGGCTTGAAATTTAGATTTTTAAAGTATTTTAGGGTTGCGTAGTCCTATTATTGGGCTTTTTTAATACTGTGTCCCTGTTTACATTTGTTTTTTTTTCACTTGATTTTCTGGTAGGATGCTCTAAAGAGGCTTCACTGAAACTAGAGTTGCTGTAGATCCGCTTATTTTTCTGATATATTTTATTGCATGTCTAAAAAGGGGACGCTTTCACTCCACATCATGACATTTTATGTACGATTGATATTAGTAGTATTTGACCATTAATGCTCATCATGCAGCCCTTGGGCGAGCAGTGCTGAGGAGGATGGAGGAGGAGGCGGTGTTGTGGATTCTCTCAGTCTAACTCTGCTGGTTATAATAATAATAATAATGAATTTTATTTGTAACGCACTTCACATTTGACTTCAAATCTCAAAGTGCTACATAAAACAAAAAGGGAAAATTAAAACAAGGTTAAAAGACCATAACATTAAAAACAGAGTAAAAAGACACTCATTAAAATCAATACATTCAAAGGCATACGTAGCCTATTAAAAAATCTAAAATCAGCAATTGTAGGCATTTCTAAGAAGGTTAGGCTGTGCAGGACCCTGTTCCCCTAATATAAGACTCAGTCCAAGACAAGAGAAAGTCTGTGGAATGATGGTGATGGAGGCCGAGAAGAAATCCAGGAAGACCAGACAGATGTAGGAGTTTCTGTAGAAATGCACAATTTGGGCTTTTCAGAGCTTACCTCCGATCTCAAAAATCAGGATCTGCTGACGGATCACAGCATCACATCCATAAATTCTTCAAATGCTAAATGTAGACTGACATTGTATTATTAGGTATCATAATTATAGATGAGAAATTGTCATTAATTGACCACTGTTTTAGTGAAGGAGGCAGCGGAGATTAGCTTTTTATTTATATAAAAATGAAAGACAGAGAAAATAATGTTGATAAATGATGACACAGGGATGCTCTTTAGAGCTTTGCTGGTGATTTGTCCTCCTGTTTGGGCACTCTGACTAAAACAGACACTCATCGACAATGACCAGTACTTTAAAAGTGTGGTCTTCATAACGATCGGCCGGTTGCGGATCGTGGCCGATCAGGTGATATCAGACCGATGCAGGTTTCTGCTCCCTACGTGGTGAGGGCTTTGTGGACCACCAAAGAGACGCCATTAGTGATTGATCGGTTCCTCCGGTAGGCGTTGGCGCTCCACAGTGACAATGACATGGACCATTCAAGAAGTTAAGGTTGTAGCTCGGCAGCTATTCACACTGTCACTGTGGAGGAAAGAGACAACAGTGACGACTTTAAGCAACTTGGGACAGTGAAGTATGTGAAGATGTCTGCCAATTTTTTGCCCTTTTCTGTCCGATTCTTCAGTGATGCAAAAATTTTTTAGATCAGGCTGACTTTCAGGCTGATGGTGCGTCCTGCGTCTTGTAGTCAAGGCATTTTACATAGACAATTCAACCAGATCATACAGTCAGACTGGTTCAAAGTTTTCTATCTTAGGAAAACCAGCTGATTGCATCGACTCATTGACTCAACAGCAATTCCTCACGCCAAGGATTCTTGTAGCGACAGTGGAGAGGAAAAACTCCCTTTGAACAGGAAGAAACCTCCAGCAGAACCAGGCTCAGTGTGAGCGGCCATCTGCTGAGGCCCATTGGGGTTCAAGGAGACAGAAGCAGACATAGAAAAAGAAGCATAGATACAAAAGGCAACTGTCAACCAGCTCCACAGGCGGCCCCGTCCAGGAAACACACAGCCAGGCAGACGAGCTCCGAGCCAGCTCCCATGTCAGAGGATGGAGAGAGCACATCCAGTTAGTCACACTCAGAGAAACAGGACTACACTGGAAAACATGCCAAGCTCCAACATCTAGAAACAAAGGTGTTGATGGCAGCAGCACAGCTGATATTTCTCTCCAGGATGGAGTCACAGCCAAACAGGAACAGACCAGATGAAGCTACTATGAGAAAAAGCAGAGAGAGCAGAACGTTAGAGATTGAACTAACAGATTCTGCAGAGTGGGAGAATAGAGATAGAATGAAGCAGAATGATGAAAAAGGGGTCCCTATGTCCTCCAGCAGTCTAAGCCTACAGTATAGCAGCACAAACTCAGAAAATATCTCAGGATAACCTGAGTATTTTGGATGAGGTATAAGAAAGGTAGAGCCAATGTCACCTGTGATGGTCCGAGCAGTCAAAGGGAATTCAGGCACAGGTTTAGATTCAAAAAGTATTCTTTTTATTGAACCAAAAACAAATAACTTGGGTCAATAAAGAACAAATTACAAAGTTGAGACAAAGGGGAAACTTAAATACTGACTGATCAGGCCACATAGAAGATACAAAGGGGGAGATACACAAAAGCCTAACTGAAACTAACAGAGGAAAATCCCATTCCCCCCCTCCTTGCTGATGAGTAGTGGTGTAAACCAATTTGCAATTTCAATAGGCTGGCTCCACCCCTTCTCCACCTCTGTTCTCCTGAAGGACTGGAGCAGCCGGCACTGAGGTGATCAAAAACAAACAAAGATTAAATCAAGTATTCCAGAATACAGTGTTTTGCCTTTCCTTACAAAAATTATTCTGTAAATTAAATCCTAAATTTAAAGAAATCCCAATATAAATGTAATGAGACTGGCTGACCTATTGTGTGATGTGATTAAATGTTACCGCATTTGGGTGGCTGTAGTGGCAGCCATCACATCACCGTTGGGAGTAGAGCTGGGCGATATGGCGATATATATCGTGAGGACGAGAGAAACATGTCTATCGTGACCTTTCTCCTCTATTTTTTCTATCGTGATAAACTTTTTTATTATAATTATAACTGCTAATATACATTTTAATATAATTTGTTAATATAACATTTTGCGTTTTTGCTATGCAAACTCTAAGTGTATATAACGAAAAAAAATAGAATAAAAAGATAATGTGTAGAGAACGTGGTTTTGCGACACTACACCGCTTTACGTCACGCGGCTTTGCACCATATGTTTGCGACATTACTGACGGAGAGAGCCCGCGAAATTTCTTTCTGGCTTGAAAAAAAATGAATGATGGACACCCAAGAAGATGTTACCACAGCAGCGGTTACAGAGTCCGAAACGGTTGCCAGGTCACAGACACAACAAACACCACTTTTGCCCAAAAGGGGAGGCAGCTCGGTTGTTTGGTTATATTTCGGATTTCAGCCATCTGATAAAGAACAAACGCAGCCGATATGTAAACTGTGCAGCAAAGCCGTTCCAGCGGCTGATGCAAATACTTCCGGCCTCTTTTACCACCTGAAGAAAAATCATGAACAAGAACACGGGAAACTACAACCACTCCGATCAAAACAAACAAGGGATGAATATACAGGAAGCACTGGAAAGAAATTCTCACAGCCGAAGCTTAAGGAAGCATTCGCCCAAGGATCACAATATGAGAAGACGTCTCAGCGACACAAGCAGATCACAGGTGCTATTTCACGCTATATCTGTAAAGGCATGGCCCCCGTTTACATAGTCGAGAAAGACAGCTTTCGGGACCATATAATTACCAGTGCAGACACATTTCTTCTTAAATAGGCGAGGCGCCTCCTAGTGGAAAACAAGGTAAATGAAAGACAAGAGAAAAACCTTGCCTTGGAATTTTATAAAATGTCAATAACAAACGAATATTAAATGATTAATTACTGCAGCGCAATAGCCAAGATTCTATACTGTTCACTGTCATGGCCGCAAATTGCATAACTGGTGTTCTTGGTTTGGGGTTGGGATTCTCATATTAGGAAACAAGATGATGGGTAAAAAATAGGCGATGAAAGATTTTTTTCAACCCTGTCCATCTGACGGACTATGAAAACATAAAATGCAATATCAGTTGTGGTATATCGTGATATATATCGTTATCGTGATATAAAATAATCCATATCGTGATATAGTTTTTTTTCCATATCGCCCAGCCCTAGTTGGGAGATTTGCTGGCTGGGTGATATTAGCCTCGTGAGACCATCCTGATCTCGCGAGCTTTCAAGTTTTCACTCGCTAATCAGTCTGGAGACTCTCCGTTAAAGAAAATTTGGAGCCGTTCACCAAACGAACATCCAATCAGCGTTGGCTTTGATGCGCGACAGTTCAGTCTAAAGAACATGGCGGCTTCAGCCGATGAAACTAGCGTTAGCGTGGCTATCGAGCAAGTTTTATCGGAATTACAGAGTATTTCTTCACTGAAAGAAGAGCAAAACACTGCTCTGGAGGCTTTTCTCAGAGGAAAAGATGTTTTTGCTCTTCTCCCGACTGGTTTCGGCAAGAGTTTGATCTATCAATTGGCTCCTCTTTGTCGTCGCTCTGTTAGTACATCATATGCTTCGTTGATCTGATTGGTTTATTTGGCCCGTCTATCACCAACATAGGCCAATCAGCTAACCAGTATTTTCGCCCCTTCCCAAAATTACTTCAACAGAAGGTTTCCAGATGGATATGCGGAGCAAATCCATCTAGCGGAGTCAGGTTAGGGTGATATTGCTCCATAATATAATCTCACATTTTTCTGTCCTACAAAATCTGATTAATCTATTTGTCCCCTTTTATTTCATACTCAAAAGTGAAAAAAATTACATACATTACTTTAAAAAGTAACTTTTATTTTATTCATTACCTCTGAAGGATGACCTTACTTTAAAATTCAGGCTATGCAACATGTAAAACAATCATGTTCCACAACAGAGCAGCTAAATATTTGCAGCTGGTGGTTTTACACAGTGAGCTTGTTTATCAGGTAGTAGCACACATCTAAGAACAAAACGTGATGCCAGTCTATGAGTGGACTGCTGAAAAAAATCCAGGTTTTCTAAAAAAAGAAAATCTACCTAAACAGAACATTTGATTAATGATTATATTTCTTTTGAAGCTCGCTGCCTTTTGTCTTCTTCTGCTTTAGGGATGTTGGAGCCTGAAGAACGCAGAGCTTCAGTCTCGTCTGTTTCATCCATCTCTCTGATAGAGATCAAGGCTGAAACTCATCTTGTCCTCCAAGCTTTCCTAGAGCGAGCTTTGTCCACCCCCCACAAAGACAGACCGGGCCGGGTAGCGGGAGCCTATGTGGACCAGAACCTCTACAGGTAAAGTCGTTCGTCTCTGTGGGCTTTGACTTTCCTTCGGTATAAATAATATTCTCTCCAATTTAACTCTATTAATTACGACGGAGTCTTAGGGCCAGGCTAGAAATGTTTTTTTTTTTTTTTTATATGAGAGTAAAGTCATAACATTGTCACAATAAAGTCATAATATTATGAGATCAAAGTCATAATATTACAAGAATAAAGTCCTAAATTTACGAAAATAAAGTAATACAACTATGAAAATAAAGTTGAAAATTATGAGAATTAAGTCCTCATACCACAATTATTGCGAGAAATAAAAATCAAATGGACTCTCAGTCTCTGTTAACTAAAAATACACTTGAATAAAAACTAAACACAAGATAAACCACAGTGAAAATAAAAACTATATTTTTAACCAAAAGAGTACAGATAATGAAGTCTGTATATCATTAGATTTTAAAAAAGATAGGCAAAACGGCCATTTTATATATAAAAAAAAATTGAACTTGACCACATATCCTACGTAGCAGAGTAAAATCAAATTTCTTGTATTTCCTTCAGTATTTCCTCTTTAATACTGCTGTACAGTTGTGGAATTGCAGTTTGTGATATGTATGTTTTCCGGTGGAGTTCATCCTGTCTATCAAATACCTGCCACGTTTTCTGAAATGCTGGTTTTTAAACAATATTATACTGAAGAGGATTAGGGCCACTGAAAAAAAAAAACAGTTAACTGATTTTTAAATTTTATTTCAGTTTAAAATGGGAAAAACGTCAGAATTCTGACTTTTTTCTCAGAATTTTGACTTTAATCTCAGAATTTTGACTTTTTCTCAGAATTCTGACTTAATCTCAGAATTCCGACTTTATTCTCAGAATTTTGACTTTTTTCTCAGAATTCTGACTTTAATCTTAGAATTCCAACTTTAATCTCAGAATTCTGACTTTTTTTCTCAGAATTCTGACTTTTATCTCAGAATTCTGACTTTTATCTCAGAATTCTGACTTTAATCTTAGAATTCCAACTTTAATCTCAGAATTCTGACTTTTTTTCTCAGAATTCTGACTTTAATCTCAGAATTCTGACTTTTTTCTCAGAATTCTGACTTTAATCTTAGAATTCCAACGTTAATCTCAGAATTCTGACTTTTTCTCAGAATTCTGACTTTTATCTCAGAATTCTGACTTTTTTCTCAGAATTCTGACTTTTTTCTCAGAATTCTGACTTAATCTCAGAATTCCGACTTTATTCTCAGAATTCTGACTTTTTTCTCAGAATTCTGACTTTAATCTCAGAATTCTGACTTTTTTCTCAGAATTCTGACTTTAATCTTAGAATTCCAACTTTAATCTCAGAATTTTGACTTTTTCTCAGAATTCTGACTTTTATCTCAGAATTCTGACTTTTTTCTCAGAATTCTGACTTTAATCTTAGAATTCCAACTTTAATCTCAGAATTCTGACTTTTTTTCCTCAGAATTCTGACTTTTATCTCAGAATTCTGACTTTTTCTCAGAATTCTGACTTTAATCTTAGAATTCCAACTTTAATCTCAGAATTCTGACTTTTTTTCTCAGAATTCTGACTTTAATCTCAGAATTCTGACTTTTTTCTCAGAATTCTGACTTTAATCTTAGAATTCCAACTTTAATCTCAGAATTCTGACTTTTTTTCTCAGAATTCTGACTTTTTTCTCAGAATTCTGATTTTTTTTCTCAGAATTCCAACTTTAATCTCAGAATTCTGACTTTTTTTCTCAGAATTCTGACTTTAATCTCAGAATTCTGACTTTTTTCTCAGAATTCTGACTTTAATCTTAGAATTCCAACTTTAATCTCAGAATTCTGACTTTTTTTCTCAGAATTCTGATTTTTTTTCTCAGAATTCTGTTTTTTTTCCTCAGAATTCTGACTTTAATCTTAGAATTCCAACTTTAATCTCAGAATTTTGACTTTTTCTCAGAATTCTGACTTTTATCTCAAAATTCTGACTTTTTTCTCAGAATTCTGACTTTAATCTTAGAATTCCAACTTTAATCTCAGAATTCTGACTTTTTTTCTCAGAATTCTGACTTTAATCTCAGAATTCTGACTTTAATCTCAGAATTCTGACTTTAATCTCAGAATTCTGACTTTTTTCTCAGAATTCTGACTTTAATCTTAGAATTCCAACTTTAATCTCAGAATTCTGACTTTTTTTCTCAGAATTCTGACTTTTCTCTCAGAATTCTGATTTTTTTTCTCAGAATTCCAACTTTAATCTCAGAATTCTGACTTTTTTTCTCAGAATTCTGACTTTAATCTCAGAATTCTGACTTTTTTCTCAGAATTCTGACTTTAATCTTAGAATTCCAACTTTAATCTCAGAATTCTGACTTTTTTTCTCAGAATTCTGATTTTTTTTCTCAGAATTTTGATTTTTTTTCTCAGAATTCTGACTTTAATCTTAGAATTCCAACTTTAATCTCAGAATTTTGACTTTTTCTCAGAATTCTGACTTTTATCTCAAAATTCTGACTTTTTTCTCAGAATTCTGACTTTAATCTTAGAATTCCAACTTTAATCTCAGAATTCTGACTTTTTTTCTCAGAATTCTGACTTTAATCTCAGAATTCTGACTTTAATCTCAGAATTCTGACTTTAATCTCAGAATTCTGACTTTTTTCTCAGAATTCTGACTTTAATCTTAGAATTCCAACTTTAATCTCAGAATTCTGACTTTTTTTCTCAGAATTCTGACTTTTTTCTCAGAATTCTGACTTTAATCTTAGAATTCCAACTTTAATCTCAGAATTTTGACTTTTTCTCAGAATTCTGACTTTTATCTCAAAATTCTGACTTTTTTCTCAGAATTCTGACTTTAATCTTAGAATTCCAACTTTAATCTCAGAATTCTGACTTTTTTTCTCAGAATTCTGACTTTAATCTCAGAATTCTGACTTTAATCTCAGAATTCTGACTTTAATCTCAGAATTCTGACTTTTTTCTCAGAATTCTGACTTTAATCTTAGAATTCCAACTTTAATCTCAGAATTCTGACTTTTTTTCTCAGAATTCTGACTTTTTTCTCAGAATTCTGATTTTTTTTCTCAGAATTCCAACTTTAATCTCAGAATTCTGACTTTTTTTCTCAGAATTCTGACTTTAATCTCAGAATTCTGACTTTTTTCTCAGAATTCTGACTTTAATCTTAGAATTCCAACTTTAATCTCAGAATTCTGACTTTTTTTCTCAGAATTCTGATTTTTTTTCTCAGAATTCTGATTTTTTTTCTCAGAATTCTGACTTTAATCTTAGAATTCCAACTTTAATCTCAGAATTTTGACTTTTTCTCAGAATTCTGACTTTTATCTCAAAATTCTGACTTTTTTCTCAGAATTCTGACTTTAATCTTAGAATTCCAACTTTAATCTCAGAATTCTGACTTTTTTTCTCAGAATTCTGACTTTAATCTCAGAATTCTGACTTTAATCTCAGAATTCTGACTTTAATCTCAGAATTCTGACTTTTTTCTCAGAATTCTGACTTTAATCTTAGAATTCCAACTTTAATCTCAGAATTCTGACTTTTTTTCTCAGAATTCTGACTTTTTTCTCAGAATTCTGATTTTTTTTCTCAGAATTCCAACTTTAATCTCAGAATTCTGACTTTTTTTCTCAGAATTCTGACTTTAATCTCAGAATTCTGACTTTTTTCTCAGAATTCTGACTTTAATCTTAGAATTCCAACTTTAATCTCAGAATTCTGACTTTTTTTCTCAGAATTCTGATTTTTTTTCTCAGAATTCTGATTTTTTTTCTCAGAATTCTGACTTTAATCTTAGAATTCCAACTTTAATCTCAGAATTTTGACTTTTTCTCAGAATTCTGACTTTTATCTCAAAATTCTGACTTTTTTCTCAGAATTCTGACTTTAATGTTAGAATTCCAACTTTAATCTCAGAATTCTGACTTTTTTTCTCAGAATTCTGACTTTAAACTCAGAATTCTGACTTTTTTCTCAGAATTCTGACTTTAATCTTAGAATTCCAACTTTAATCTCAGAATTCTGACTTTTTTTCTCAGAATTCTGACTTTAATCTCAGAATTCTGACTTTAATCTCAGAATTTTGACTTTTTCTCAGAATTCTGACTTAATCTCAGAATTCCGACTTTATTCTCAGAATTCTGACTTTTTTCTCAGAATTCTGACTTTAATCTCAGAATTCTGACTTTTTTTCTCAGAATTCTGACTTTAATCTTAGAATTCCAACTTTAATCTCAGAATTTTGACTTTTTCTCAGAATTCTGACTTTTATCTCAGAATTCTGACTTTTTTCTCAGAATTCTGACTTTAATCTTAGAATTCCAACTTTAATCTCAGAATTCTGACTTTTTTTCTCAGAATTCTGACTTTTATCTCAGAATTCTGACTTTTTCTCAGAATTCTGACTTTAATCTTAGAATTCCAACTTTAATCTCAGAATTCTGACTTTTTTTCTCAGAATTCTGACTTTAATCTCAGAATTCTGACTTTTTTCTCAGAATTCTGACTTTAATCTTAGAATTCCAACTTTAATCTCAGAATTCTGACTTTTTTTCTCAGAATTCTGATTTTTTTTCTCAGAATTCTGATTTTTTTTCTCAGAATTCTGACTTTAATCTTAGAATTCCAACTTTAATCTCAGAATTTTGACTTTTTCTCAGAATTCTGACTTTTATCTCAAAATTCTGACTTTTTTCTCAGAATTCTGACTTTAATGTTAGAATTCCAACTTTAATCTCAGAATTCTGACTTTTTTTCTCAGAATTCTGACTTTTATCTCAGAATTCTGACTTTTTTCTCAGAGTTCTGACTTTAATCTCAGAATTCTGACTTTTTTTCTCAGAATTCTGACTTTTTTCTCAGAATTCTGATTTTTTTTCTCAGAATTCTGACTTTAATCTCAGAATTCTGACTTTTTTCTCAGAATTCTGACTTAATCTCAGAATTCCAACTTTAATCTCAGAATTTTGACTTTTTCTCAGAATTCTGACTTTT